ATAAAATATGTATATTACACGTAAGTACGTGTTCGATATAAACTCACAATGCTTCAATGTAAACAACCGAACGCGGTAACATCCAATTCCAACCAACAATAGCATTAGACCTTCAGAGGCTCTAAATAGCCTTAATATAGCCCCTGGAGTAAACATTTCAAGTATAAAGACTACTTTCAATTCTCCTGTACAGCCCTCTGTCCATCCCATGTTTTACCACACTTAGACTCATAATTAGCCAATGACTTATAAAGACTAAATAAAGTATTCTCTTATAGATTTCTAATGCAACTAGCCTCATATTTTTATGATTTTTCTGTGATTTACTATATTATTTACAACACAGCAGCTCAAAGCTGTCAAAATTCAGCTGTACAACACAGTACATATTGCAGTTTTTACCCATCTTAACTTCAATTTCACATTTTCATGTCTAAAGATGAATTGTAGTTCATTACGTTATCTTTCCATGGACACTGATCTCATATACATACAATTTTCCTTCAATTTTCTACAAATTTTCAAAATCAGAGCTGTAACCATACTCTTTCAATACCAATACACCCATATAATCCATTATAATGCCCAATTCTCTTGTATTTCAATACCATCTTCTGGTTTTCATCTCATATATTACATATTCTTGACAAAACTTCAAAAATTCTATCATTATTTAGCATATAAACATGATTTTCCACATTAATCATCATTAACATCACTAACAATGCTTAATTTAATGGCTTTCATACTAATGCATGCAATTATTCCAAGATTCTTTCATGATTAAACTATAATCATCATCGAACAACCTTAATCTATCATCATCTTGTTATAATCTTTCAAATGCAAACCCTAACCTTCTTGATTATCACTAACTACATGGAATAAACTTGAAATTAGAAGCATACATTGATAGTTATCACATATTCTTCAAAAATCTAATATTAATCATCAAGAATTGAAAGATTTAAGCCCAAGTGTGTGAAGATCGACCTTTGAGTGTGTGAAAGTTCTAGAGGTGAAAATAACCATTTTTGAGTGCAAAACCCGGTTTTGACCTATTTTGGTCAAAAAGTCAACCTAGTTTGCCACTGTTGGCAGATTTAGTCCCTCATGCGTATCTTGGTCGTTTCAACTCCGTTTCGCACGAAACTTTCCAGATCTCTTAATTAATCTATAAGAAGCTTAAGTATAAAGTTTCAGCCTCTAATTCGACCTAGAATTCCATATTCCAATCTAACTTTGATAATTTTCACTTATTTACTACAAGAACATGGGTTCTCCTACATGGCCTGAAAGTTCTAAGTAAGCACAAACCCATAATATACTTTATTGACTTAGTTAAACATGTTTAGCAACATAAATGGACTTTTAGTAAGTTGGATGTTACAATTTACTGATATAGTTTAATTTCTAAATTAAATTTGTTATAGAGTTAACTTCATTTTATTTTTTATTTTTTTTATTAACCTGGATATCCAACCCGCTATGCGAGCCGACTAATCCTAGGACGATCACCTGCTTTGCAGATAGCCCAGAGTCACCGCATTTGAACCTTTGTGGCCACAAGAGAATTTTTATTCCTCCTTGGATTTGAATTTGGGACCTCCTAGTACTTTTGACATTTGGAGCCAAGCTCAAACCAATCAGACACCATCCTTGTGGTTAGGTTAACTTCATTTTAACTAATTATTGATATAGTTTCGTTTCTAAATTCAAGTTTGAAGAGTCATTATTCAGAGTTATTTCAATAATACAAGTCTGAAGTCATTTTTCAGAGTTTTACTTCAGAGTTATTTCAAGAGTACAAATATGAAGTCATTCTTCAAAGTTATGTTTCAGAGTTATTTCAAGAGTAAAAGTATGAAGAGTAATTCTAAAGAGTTAGCTCACCCGAACTCTGAAGTCTGTTTTTTCAGACTTAAACAGACTTAGCTCACCCGAACTCTGAAGTCTAAACTCTGAAACGCTGAAGTATTTTTTTTAGACTTAGAAAAAGAAGTTCGAAGTCTTTTTTTTTTCAGACTTAGAAGTCTGAACTCTAAAGTCATCTACAAGTCTAAAGAGTCATTCTGCAGAGTTAGTTCGCCCGAATTCTGAAGTCTGAACTCTGAAGTCTTTTTTTTAGACTTAGAAGTCTGAACTTTGATTTAGTGTGATTGATTTTATACTTCAGAGTTATTTCAAGAGTACAAGTCTGAAGAGTCATTCTTCAGAGTTTTACTTCAGAGTTATTTCCATATTACAAGTCTGTAGAGCCATTATTCAAAGTTAGCTCACCCGAATTCTGAAGCCTTCTTTTCTAGACAAAGCACCATGCAGAGCCTTTGCATAGTGCATGCAGAGCCTTTGCATAGTGCATGCAGAGCTTCTGGTTTGCCTATACAGAGTCTGAAGTATGAAGAGTTTTACTTCAGAGTTATTTCAAGAGTACAAGTCTGAAGAATCATTCTAAATTTACTTCTAAGTTTAAATTTAATTTATTGATATAATTTCATTTCTAAATTCAAGTACGAAGAGTTATACTTCAGAGTTATTTCAAGAGTACAAGTCTGAAGAATCATTCTAAATTTACTTCTAAGTTTAAATTTAATTTATTGATATAGTTTCATTTCTAAATTCAAGTACGAGGAGTTATACTTCAGAGTTATTTCAATAGTACAAGTCTAAAGTAGCATCGTACTTTTGATGATCATTCATATCTCTAAGATAAGTTCCTGACATGATTTAATTTTTTTAAATTACCTCGTATAATACACGAGATCAAACCTAGTGTGTGTGTATATATATATATATATATATATATATATATATATAATAGATTTTATCTATAAAATCAAACACTTATACTCTCACAACCCTTAACCTTTAAACACAATCTTCCATTACAACTCTTAACACATTATGAAATCACACCAAGCTTTACAATTTTTACTACTTTTTTTAAACGCATAAATGAAATTACAATGTTTTTATATTTTCTTATAAAAAATATAGTTTTTATGAGAAACCACGAAATGTTAATATTTTTTTAATAATTGTTGATACGAAAAATAATAATTTGTAACTGATTTAGGGACAAAAAAATCAGATATTATGCCTGATATATCAGGATCGCCCCACCTACCCCTAGATCGCCCCCGAGCGATCTTGACCCTAAATTCGTCTTCCAGTGGCCTATGATATGACAACGTTTTGACAACGATAACGATCTATTTTGTCTTATTACGTAACGGTTTATATAAATAGGCGGTGGGAGGGGACTATTATCACCATCCCAACCGACCACCGACTCCACCATATAGAAACACACCTCCGACGTCATACCATCGACCACTGATCACCGTCCATCGACATCTTTCACCGTATACCGACATCTACCACCGTCCACCTTCGGCATCTACCACCGTTTGCCGCCACCTACCACCTTCCATCATGGAACAACTCGTAACAAAACACATGTTTTTAATTTAACTTAAGAATCTATTTTTGTCTGGTATTTAACTTAATAATCTATTTTTTTATTTTTGTTTAGATTAATTTTGTACAACATTTAATTTTTGAATTAATTTTTGACAAGTGTTCTACCAATCTTTTTTGACGTTGAGGGCACAAATTTCCACACTAAAAAAATTGATGTTGAGGCACAAATCTCCACACTAAAAAAATTAACGAAAAAATATCTACTAATCTAAGGTTTAGATATATGTTTCGGGCCATGGTTAGATATATCTAACCAACATGCAGATTCCTCCTTAATTAATTGATAGTGCAATATGAGGACCCCTTTTTTCATTCTCAATCTGAAGAAATATATTATCATGTTGGAGGGTCCCATTTACAGTTTAGCAGATATGAGTTATGTTTGATAACGAGTTTCCAATTTGGGCCGGAACTTCGCCCACCATGTTATACCACCCCTTTAATTATTTTAAGATTGTTTGGTAAAATGACCGAACATGATAATATTAAAGTCGATTATTTTAGAAATAATTTAATCGACATATCAGACAATAATGCAATGCGTATCTGCCTCGTAATCATGCTTCATTCGGTATTCCTAGGACGAAAAAAAACCACAATGTCCAACACTTGATTTGCATCTAGTTAAAAATTTGGAAGCCTGGAATCAATACCCGTAAGGTTCGTATATATGACGTATGACACATCAACTGGTTACCTAAATTCTTTTAAATAAGAAGAAGTTACATCAACCAATTTATAACAGTGTGATGGTTTATTTATTTTTTTAAAAAATTCAGGATTTTCATTATTTAAAATGTAAAAATTTAATAGTTTTTTATTTAAAAATAATTTAGAGATTTAATTATTCAAAATAATAATTTTAAAAACTAATTGAAGGACTAGAATATTTAAAATAAATAAGTTTGTTGGAATTTTCATTTAATCCATATTGTATTATAAAACATTTGATAAAAATTCGTAAAAAATATTTTTCATGCATAAAATACTGTTTATTAATGCATATTACTTAAAATTCAAGATTACAAGTAAATTGTGTGTAAGTATAACTTACTAAAGCTCCATATAAATACAAGATAAACATCTCATTTTATATATAAAAAATCTAAAATATAATTAGGATAATTATTGAGTTCTAACAGAATACTTGATTATTATATTTATAAAAACTTATATTATTGAACTTAAATTAAATTATTTTGTTATGTTAAATTAAATTATGATAAAAATTTTGAATTTGATAAATTACATGAAAACAAAAACTTTTAAATGGTTAATTTGATACTAATATCGATATAACTTTTTTAAAATTTTATGATATTTTATTCAAAAATAAAAATATTATCGTTTTATAAAACCAGATAAAATCGTATCATATCGACGTAGATAAAAAAAATAAAACGAACCATTAAAATCAAGATGTACACAAATTCAAATTAAACATGTTACAAATTAGTTTGTGTCTCTATCTCTAAAACCATCGTTAATAAACATGAGGATTAAATGAAAAAACCCTGCCGCCTTCATTTTTAGGACTCTCTGATCGTTATAAGCTCGAGGAAATCAGAGTGATCACGAGTCGTCAACAATGGCGATGACGACGGCCAACAACGGGGATAAAGTAATGCTTCTAGAAGCTCCTCCATCTTCGCGGCCGTCTTGGTCTAGTAGCGCAGCACAAATCGACGCATTGCCCTACATTGATGATGAGTACGGCGACCCCAAAGTGAAAACCGAGGTTGACCGCTTGATTGAAGAAGAGATGCGTCGTAGCTCTAAAAAGCCTTCGGATTATCTTAAAGACCTCCCTCCCGTTGCTAAATTTAACTTCGAGGTATTTTCTTATTTTGATATATTTCTAGGGCTTTACTATATGCTACCTTCGTTTCCGCAAAGCTATAATGTGTCGCTGCTTTCTTACATATGTGCATGAGTTTGTAAGTGTTGAGTGTTTTTTATTTGATTCTATGCGATAGGCCTGCTTGAGCATGAGTAAACTAACGATTGCAATTACACGGTGTAATGCCTAGTCGAAGCATATTCAGCTTGGTGGTTTAGTAAGCCAGTGTTAAAGGCTTTGGAATATTTTGTAGGTCACTCGAGAAATTAGATGAGTTTTGTAGGAAGTAGAGAAATATTGTACTGAAGACAAACGGCAAGACGTATAGGCAGATGAAGGGACACAATTCAGAGGGTGATGTGATTATCTTGTTGGTCCTGACAGAGAGTTTTATTTAATTATTATTTATTAGTAGCAAAAGGGGATTACTAAGAATTGCCATCTCTCTATTAACCACGTCAGAGAAAATGTGGAATTTCTAAGCAATTTATTTTGGTAAATGAAAACTCAAAGACTCCATTAATGGTGGGAAGCAAAGTGGAGAAAAAAAAGAAGGAAAGTTAAAGATGGAGAATGAATTTCTATTTCTCAGTGATTGTTCAAAGATGCTGAAACAAGGGTATACATAGTATATACACATACGAATATGAATGTCTTACTCAACTAACAACTCAGGGAGACATAATTAATTGACTATTGCAATGTCAATAACCAACTAACTAAGAAAATCACTGCCTTAAATCTCTATGTATTAAACAATGCTACATTAACTAGGATATAGGTTTTAAACAAGTCCCAAAATACCCTTGAGTGATGTATATTGCAATGCAAATCTTGTGCCATGTGAATGGAATGCTGATTTGAAAGAGATTTTTGCCTATCATCACCACCACCATTAACATTGTTTTTTAGTTTTGTCTACCTCTCTTGCAAATTGTAGACTTTAGAGGTGTCAATAATTAAATACTTCCACTTTGCTCCATAAAATGGTAATCTTGCCTTCTTTAACAATAAGTTTAACATTCTTTGTACAAACATGGAATATAAGACTAGAAGCCAAAACTACAACTGAGGCACTATCACAATGAATAAGGGAAGAACATGGTCAAGGGAGTTCTTTGTTGTAGATGTCACAAGGTCACTGAGAGTGAACGATCAAAAGTAAGAGTTTAGAAGATCCTTATTACCTTGTAAAAGTGTAATGTAGAGGCACTATCACAAGTATCTGGAGTTCATTATCATTTGGCATTAAAAAGGCAAGAAGAAAAAAAAGCTAGAAAGCGTTTTTTCAGATTTTTGTTACGTGAATCTTAGTAGTCTGAGTGCCTTTTCTGTTTGATATGTTACAGACATATTAACCAGTCCAATTATAACACAGTAACACACAGAGAGAGAAATAAACCAGAACAAATGAACCTTGCAAATCTCACACGGAGTAGGGTCTGAGAGGGGTATAATGTACACAGACTTTACCTTCTTTATCCCAGGGAGTAGAGAGGCTGTTTTCATGAAGACCCTTGGCTTGCTAAAAAATATTGAGGAAAAACACGGAAAAACACACACAGATGCATCTAACTATGAACTATCTATATATGACTCTGAAAACATCGTGCATGAGATGAAGCTCGTATATCTGTTGAAGACTGGAAAGAGTAGTCAGGCCTTTTTTTGTTCGATCTGTTACAACATATTAAACAGTCCAAATCTAAAACACACACGCATGTATATATTGCATTTGCAAGTGAATATTAAATTATGATTATTCAAAGATGTAAAGCAACCACGACTCTTGAATCTTGATTTTTGAGGAAGGATGCATGAAGTCGCTACCAAGAGGAAATGATGGTATGGTGACATGGGCTGATGTTACTTGGAAACATGGACCCATTGACGTATCTGTTTTTATGATTCTTGTGTATATACGAGGCTAAAACAAACCAACAAGTGAAAGTTATCTCATAATTCATGCATTGAATATATTTATATTCATGCAAGTGTTTTCCTTTAACAATGGGCCTAAATTGCTAATTTTTGTAACTTCTAGATTCTCATTGTTCATTCTTTTAGAAGGATCAAAATTGAATCTTCTTGTTGGCTTGCTTTTCTTATCTCATGTTCTGCCTATGCAAGCGTGGCGGTCAAATGCTTAGCCAAGAAGGTCTGGCTCTTAGGAAGGCTGGCTTCAGGTGGCTGGTGCCTAAGCAAGCACAACTGATGCCTGGTCTCCAGCTCCTAGCAGAGCATGAGCTGTTCCTAAGCAAACATGTCTGTGCATAGGATTTGGCTAATAAGCTTGTTCCAAAGTTGAGTCTAGAAAGACTTATTTCAAAGCCTAGGCTACAAAATTCATTGGAGAGTCAATACTAAAAAGATCACTGGAAATTTGATCATCAGGCTGAAAATTTGACGTTCTTGAAAAATATTCTCTAGACAATTACCCCTAGTCCACAAGTGAAAGACTTTCCACGAGATAGAATCAGAGTTATGGGCAAAAAGAATATTAGTTCTCAGCAAAATCTCAACAACAATAATTGCAGCCATAATAATGTTCTGTGAAGAAAACCTGACTGTCTAGGTATCATGTGACGATGTGATGAGACATAAGTTTTGAAGCACAATGTGTGACAACACTAGAACACATAGTAAAATAAAAATGACAAATAGATATGTGAAATATAAGTGAATATGGTTACTAAACAAACCTTCATGGTATATGACCATTCTTATAGGCACATTGTTTATTACCTCAAAACAGACTTGGCACTTAAAGAAACAAATGCCAAATAGCCCTAGTGCAACTGATTTGCTAGAGACAGCTCTGGAAGGGCCAAAACAGGAACGACTAGAAAGGCTTATTATATCTTGGTAGGGGCGCTTGGTCTGTCTTTTCTGTAACAACTCATCACCTAGTGTTTACTGCATTTTTAGCCCCTTGACTAAGCTATTCAACGTAATATTTGTCGACTCTTGGGTTGTTAGTGGACACCCGTTAGTCATTTTTTTTGTGAGAGGGCAAGTTTTAAATCAAGTATTATGCTGAACATGAATGAGGATGATAATAGATCATAGAACTAGAAAGAAGTGTCTCGCTGTGCCATCCATGCCTATTATATGATCTTATTCATTGTTAATTGTCGAATACTCATTTTTTTCATCTTATCAGTAACATTATTCTTACTCTCACATGTTGGGTTTAGATTAACTTTTCAAGAAACTAAATAGTCAAAAGTTTTCTGTTGTCTTTTTCTTCTGAATGCGTCAGGTTTGGAGGTGTGTTTGGGTTACTCATAGTCTTGGGTTCCCTTATCCTGTGCTTGTGTATGTAGTAAATTATCATTTACTGAACAAGAATTGAATCCAAGTATTCTGATGCATGTCCTATATGGGGTTTTCCTTCAGAATTATCCAATGCTTGCTAGGGAGTATGAGCGAGTGAGAGCTGGAAAGCCGATGGTGCCTCTGGATATGTCAAGGTATGGGCTTGACATTCCATCGATGAACAAACGGAATGATGAAACTGCTTGGAAGCAGGCACTTCAGAAATCTCAACGTTTACTCCAGCATCAAGTTATTAGGTAAGATTGAACTTTGACTTGTGAAAGGGTTATTTTTGCTCCATCGGTGATTCTATACATTCTAGTGTTATTGTACTAACATCTTGACCATCTCAGAATTAATAGATTTAGATGGTAGAAGTAGCTCAAAGCCAATTGGGATTTGTAGAACACCAGGAGGAGTTTGTTATGACAGATGGAGATTAATCAAGATTTAGATGGGGATAGGGTAGAGAGATTTGGGTGAGTGGAATGTGTGAAGGGAGTCAGTCTTGGGGGCTGTTTGGAAAGAGCTATAAGGCTTTAGCTTATTCAGGTAAGCTATACAAAGTTACTTGGAAGTGGCTTAATGGCTAAAAAAGAAGCTTATTTGGTCAGCCCAAAAAGTCGAGTCATATAGACCCAGCCGTTTATCATCCCACTTATTCCCCTTTACTCCTCCCCATCCCCCCTTTTCATCTTCATTCTTGATCCTGACAAAGACGATGGCATCATACAAAGGTCTATTTACTCCTCCCTCCATCGATTCACAACTCTAGATGTCTCCATCAATTGATAATTGGATTTTCCCATATATTGACAAAAGAGAAGCAATGGTGTTGTTGGGTTTTCTTTCCTTTTGATTTTCTAGGTCCCCCCCCCCCCTATTTTTTTCCTTATAAATAGTTGCTCCTCTCTGAAATCTCGTTTCTTGCTATTGGGTTCTTGCATTAGAGAAATGGTGGGAATGTTATTGAGTTCTTGTTTCTTCCTTTGTTATTGTTGAAGCTGTTTCTTTTTGTTGTTTATTGTATTTGACAAATTGAAGGAACAAGCACTGTTGTTGTCTAATAACTTGATTATAATACAAAAGTGCACTGTTGAAAAAAAAAACAATAAGTGAGGGTTAAATTGTCATTTACATTATTAGACTGTTCGGTACAACACAATTTAACATAATTTATACAGACAATTGAATTCCTACAAACAACTTGGTATATACTAAGCATAATGAAAAAACAACTGAACAGCACCTTGGATAAGTACGCCTCGTAGAATTTTTTTGATAAAGGGGAACAATGCCCTAGTAAAATTTTTTCTTCAGAAAAAGGGAATAACAAATTAAAGATGGGAATACCCATCATAACCAAAAGGCTTATCTCTGTATATATTTGCATTCTTTAAGAGCCAACTAGCCTAAAATGAAATCTCATGAAAATGGACAAGTAAACCCTTATGGATTTTATAGAAACAATCCATGAGATCCAAGTGGAGACTGATTCCTGGAAACCCAATTAAAAACATTTCCTAGAATAATACAACCCATCTGAATTGCCCACTATTCATGCGCCTAGACGGTTCACCCCTGAATTATTTCTACTGGGTTTTATGTTTAGCCTACCCCGATTAGTTCCTAGTAAAGCTGCTTGGTGTTGATGTTCCCATGAACTTTTTTTAAGATTAACATGGGGGTAGGGTAGAGAGATATGAGTGAGGGGAATTTGTAAAAGGAATGGGGCTTATTTAAGTATGCCTAGAAGTAGGAGATGCATTTGCTGAAGGCCTAGGGGGTTCACCTTCATATAATTTCTACTTGGTTTCATGTTTAGCCTACCCCAACTAGTTGATATAAAGGCTACTTGATGTTGATGTTCCCAAGAACTCAGTTTATGCACTTCGTTGAGCTATGTGATGTATTTCGGATAGTAAGTTGTAATTGTGCTATTTGCAAATTCTATTCAAGGAGGTGTTGGTAACTGGAACGAATGAATGGATTGGAGTTTTGACATCTTAATATTTAAATGAAACTAAAAATATTCTTTTCTCCATCGAATTTTTGCTGTTTCCTTGGCTCCCACATCTTGATCTGGTGTTACCATTTTGTGTGTAACTTGCTCTTTTGTGATGCTAGGCTGGAAAATTTGGATCTAATGTCCAAGTACGGGGCAGATGTATGGAAACAACACAATCAACGGTTAGAAGCATTCTTATCAAGGTCAGTGTGATCAACATCCTTCCTCTCCTTTGATGTTGCTTTGTTTCTTCTTCTCTATGAAAATGTATTTTTCATCATCTGTATCCAAAGTGCTTTTCCTGTCATTTTCACTCATTTTTGTAATGCTTTGAAGATATTTATATGTTTTCATGGAACTTCAACACGAAGGAATGGTATACATGCCCAACAAAGTCAAAGTAGGATGGTTTTTCCGGATTTCATTGTTCTTGTCCTGTTATAACTATAACTGCTTTCTGATTATCAATTTGAATGCTGTATTTTAATCAAGATGGTTGTTTTTTTATTGTGAGAGTTTCTCTCTTCTTTTTCTTTTGTGTGATTTTTGTAAAGCACAAGATGCCACCCCCTATCAGATTGTTCCATTTAGGCCATTCAATTTTTATGTTATTAGAAAATTTATACTTGTAGCTTTTTTGGCATTTCATTTGTTTCATTAAATTTGTATAGCTGGCTTTTGTAGGATAGAATAACACCTAGTAACATTTATCACTTCTTACCTGTGATGTTGTGATGCTCCAGAAAGACAAGCTTTGTGTTATTTGTTGTTGTTTTTGTACCATGCTATTTGTGTTGTTAAAAAAGTCGATGACAGTAACGTTTAGAGAGAATGGACGGCAACTGCTGTGAAATGATTTACACAATCTGACAACATGACTAGTGATTTGCTGGACAGGTTGGTGTAGTGTAGGGTTTAATTCTTTTGTAGTTTGGCATGAGTAGTGATGCAAAGATCATGCTAGCATTGGGCTCCTGCAAAACGCATTTGTTTCTATTCAAAGAGTTGATAGATTTTTATCCTTCTCTTCCTAGATTTTATGCCACAAAAAACTCATTGAAAATCAGCTAACATCAAAATTTTCATAAATTACAACCCATAACATCAAAGGAACTCTCAAAACACACATTATGTCATCTTCTTGATGTTATGTTGCAATGAATGTGAAGTTTGATTTCCTTTTTAGTGTATTGAGAAGTTTCAAGCAGAGCTAAGTTGTTGACTGAGGCCCTGCTTACTAACCTCTTACCAGGCCAAGTAAGGTGCTTTTTGGTTGCTTTTCCATTAGGTCCTGTGTAGATTAAGTTGTCTGTATGGATGAAATTAAATTATTGTTCGGCTATTATGCTGAATAAACTATCTGAATAATATGAATGACCATTTTACCCTTTATTGTTATATTTTTATTTTTCCCCATCAAAGTCAAAGTAGATCGATCAGTAATAACAATGAATTTGTTAAATTGATCAATCAACCATAACAAATGACTCCTTAAAGTAAAAAAACCGAAATACAATGGTAGCATCAGCAAACCAAGAATGTCTACAAGCACCAAGGTGAGCTTGAAAGAAAATAGAAAAAAGAACATGAGCTTTCATCTCAGAATGTTTATAAGCAGTAACAAAATTTCGAAGAATATGGAATTAAAAAGCATAGGTGGGGTTGGTAATCACAGACACTGGTCTAAATCTCTTCATCTCCCATGTTCAGAAGTATTGGAGATAAATCCTTGTGGGTCAACGAAGCCTCCATCTGCGTTATCGAAGTCGATTTATTAGGGGTTTTCTAAGTCATGATTTGTTAGGGGTTTTTTCTGAGTCACAATTTGTTAGCGTTGATCGGGAAGGAAATAAAAAGAAGGGAAAGGAGGATTGGAGGGGAAAGACGATCTTTGATGCAGCAGAGGGAGTAGATGAAAGGAGGGGGATGTGGATGAAAATGGAAGACATTCTTGGAAGGTTAGCGAGAGAGCAATCTCCAATTTTTGGACTCCATCTTTTTCTTGTGACTGAGAAGGAATGGACAACCCAAAAGGGTTTTTTAGGAATTTTTTTTGGCTGAATCTGGATGATTCTATTTCTTGGGCTGATTGAATAAGTCTGTATGGCTTACCGAATAGGCATACAGCCTATTCAGTCCATTAAGCCACAACCGCACAGTTACCCTGGTTAGAGTTAGTTGGTGTTTACCAAAAAAAATTCCTCCTCTGACCAAGATTATCGCTGACTGAGCATCTTACTTAAAGGCTGTTTACTTACCTCTTACAGCCTCTTACCCAATAAGAGGTTCTTACTTGGATAAGAGGTGGAGTGTTTACGTTGGTTCCAGAAGTTTACGAAAGGAAGAAATTTGTCATTTAGTGCTGACCATGCTCTTACCATGGTCAGACATAGAAACCTATCTGATTGTAGTCAGAGAACAAAATGTTCCTTATTTACCCCTCTTTAAAGGCCACCAACTGATTTATTCCTTGTTTCAAGACATGGCAACTGATTTCCATTTTGCCGATATCACATACCTGTGGTAAATAATAGACATCTCAAGAGTTTCTCTTATAGGTTCTGATTTCTTTAATGTGTTTGGTTTGGACCACCCTCGTTTTCCTAGATTCTCGTCTGCTCCATCATCTTCTCTTTCATTCTCTCTCTCTCATCAATCTCTCAGGAACCCTCCATTTTACAAAGTCTGGCGATCAAATGATCGAATACCCACTTCAAATGAGACCAAAAAACAAGAAAACCAAAAGATTTTAGAAGCAAATTCAAATGTATGCTTAAAAGAATGAAAGAAGAAGAACAATAAAAACAAGAAGAATGGTATTCGAGAGAGTAAGAAAACACCTATGTTTATGTATAAAGTTGAAATGATGTCTTGAATAAAAAAAGCTTGGAATTGATGGTTTTGAAAACCAGAGTAGTGATGTGCTGTCAACTTTTGAATGGGTACAAGTGATGTACTGTTGTAGCTATTATTGGTTTTCGCTGTATGTGTTGGCATGTTATCAAGTTTGGTAATTTATTTTTATAAGCATAAAAAATGAAAATATATGTAAAACATTTGAAAATATGTCATTACTTAAAAACAAGGTTATTTTTGTCAGTACTTATCATGGTCAGATCTCTTACTCCAGTCAAACCTCTTACCCCAGTCGGCACTTACCCAAATTTTTTAGTAAGCAGCCCCTTAGGCAAGGAGATAATCTGCTGCTTACCTGAGTCAGCATCTCCTTTTACTGGATTTACCTCTTACATGTGCCCTGTACGCCTGCGATTATCTCCCAGTTTTGCTGTTAAAGAATACATTGCAAGGCTTGTAAATTGTGCATAGAAAACTATCCCCCACCCCCTTTGCGTTGTATTCCTCGTCTTCTTCGTCTACCGCAGAGGGAATCGCTCCAGCTGGTGGTGGCGGCGGCGTCGCATAACTGGGTTGGGAACGGAGCAAAAGAGTAGGTGGTGGTGGTTGACGGCCAAAGAAAGTTGGGAGTAGAAGGGGTTTCTGAACTTGGGGGATAGCAAGGGGTGGTTGGATGACGTGGGTGGTTTTTTAATTTTAAAAGAAATACATTTTTTTGGGTTAATGATATAATACCAACAAAATTATTTAATTTAAATAGAATTTTAATTTTTAATGGAAGTATTTATATGATGGTCTCTTCTGTGACACACTCATTAGTCTTATCCTTGCACATACAAGATCTAGGGCATACTAGGCTATTTGTTTGTACTAAGTTTGGGCTTGCAAAAGCACCAATGATTTAGTCAACGAATTATAGTGTATGTATACACATAATAAAGCAAATAATTTAGCCTCTAAATTCATTGATAACTCTAGCAAAAAGAAGGGGGGATGACTTCTAGCTTCAACATGTGGTTAGTAGGTTCACTAGTCAATCTAACTTGATCAATGATATCATATTACAATACTCACTGGAAGCTTATGATGAATACCAGACTAATTTGAGGGATATAAAACTTCATTAGACATCAACTGAATGATTATGATAGGGTTTCCGGCCTACGAGAAGCCAGATTATCTCCCAAGGCTCTTGCCGAAAATAGACTTAACAAACTGATCGATCCCCTCCCACACTCGCCGCTTCTTATTTATATACTTCTACTAATGCCTTACATACTTCTACTAATGTTTTGCCTACTTGTATATTCCTACCACAGTTGACTGTCATTGACTATTTGACATCCTAAGTAAACCAGCCTCATGTATTGACTAGTCAATACCCAAGGTATAACAATACCTGGCCCCCAAACTTTCACCTTGTCCTCAAGGTGGGAAGAAATGAAAAAAATTGAATAAACTCTTTGCATCTACGATGAGTTGTAGTGGTGGTGATAGAGGTGGCGGTGATTCCTGATGATCATCGGCCAACCAGCCTCCCGTTTTGATCAACAAAGGTAAAAAGTCATATCCATCAATGCCTCGACTTTCTGGTTTCACCTTTCAACACTATTGTCTTTGGTATAGACAACCTTACGATTAGATTCAACGATATTTTGATCTCCGCTTCTGTAATATCCTTTGACCCATATTGTTCTTCGTTCCACCCTTTACCTCCCCTTCTTTTTCAGATTCCTGAACCACCAGCAAATTAACTTTCTTTTTCTTGCATTTATGCCTCAGTGTGTACTTTTCGTCACATTGATAACATAGTTCTTGAGCTAGGCGCTGGTGTAACTCACTGACAGATAACAATTTGTATTCTTCCCTGCTTTAGCTGTTTTTACCAACTGCCTCACCACAGTCCTCGTCAGCCTCAATGATGTCGGTTCACCCACCCTTGTTACCTTTATGCTTGAATGACTCAAATCATCATTTTTTTTCTTCCATGTTTAGTGTCAACTCACTATTCAACGGCTTCCAAGATTCCCCTACATTTGGCTTTCCATGTAACCCCACTGTGAAACCCAAATCACCTCCCAAGTCACCCAACCCACGGTCTTGTGTTTTACCTTCACTTGTACCCTCTGCAGTTCTTTTAGTAGCCCATCCATTAAATTTTTTATTTCAAATTCATGTTTCATTTCCTTCGCTTCCATCTCCAATTCCATTGCTCCTTCCTCAATCATCGACGATAACTGCGGTACTTTATTTCTAGTTAATGGTTTCAAACCATTACTATACTGATTTAAGGAAACTTCTTTTGAAACTCCTTCCTGCGGCTACCCCACCTTCAACCAATTTCCTTGAGTAGCCAGACAAGGACTCCTGCCTGACGGCCTTAATTGTCGTAACAACATCATCTTCAACTCATCCCATCTTTTAAATGGTCGATATTGATTTTCCCATTGGAACCATCCTAGAGCCTCGCCCTTGAAGCAGAATCGTGCAATCTTGTGCTCCTCCCTTGTTAACTGATTCAACTTGAAGTAACTTTCAACACACATCACCCAATCATCATAATCCCCTCCCTCAAATGTTGGTATCTCCAATCTTCTTTCCTGGATCGTAAAACCCTTCCCGATCCCTGTCATCTTCTCTTCTTTCATTTGTAGCAACTTGTTCTTGAATCCCGTTTCCAGCATCTTGAGTAATAGATCCATCTGCTTCAACACCACTTGTACATCTTCTATTAGGGAACCGAGTTTGGTCTGCATCATCCCTAAACTGCCCTCGATTTTGTTGATTCTTGGTGAAATGCTTGTCGTCATCCCGTAGACCGTAATGCTCTGATACGAATTGATGAACATCGGACTAATTTGAGGGATATAGAACTGTGTTACCCATCAACTGAATGTTACGTTAGGGTTTCTGGCTTTCGAGAGGCCAGATTCTCTCCCAAAACAGACTTAACAAACTGATTGATCCCCTCCCACACCACTTCTTATTTATATACTTCTACTACTGAATTACATAATTGTACAATTCTTACCATAGTTGACCCTCATTGACTATTGGACTTTCTAAGTAAACCAGCCTCTTGTATTGACTAGTCAATACCCAGGGTATAAAAGCCTGTTGTTCCCTTATATTTCCCAAGTTGTGTGTGACATTGGTGTCTTAATGTTTGTTAAATATATTCAAAGGGGAGTTTGTTAATCTGTGCTGATCTGGGAGCTTTTAATAATTTATAGAACTTATTTTAGATGGGGAATGGCTTTAATAGATTAAAATGGTGTCTAAAAGTTCCACCATAGCCTAACGCTTGACACAGTTTGTTGACGTAAACTGTTTTTGAGGTCTTTATATTAGGTTTGTTGTTGAATGGCAAAGTAAAATGGTTTTTAAGTCGGTCATTCTGATGTACATTTATACATTTAAGTTCTCTTAACTGTTTCCATTACATATTTTTGGTGTTTCTTTTTCCAGAATGCAAGCACAGGCAGGTGAGTTAAATGGAAAGATAGAAATTGTTAATCGAGAAAGAAAATATCATCAGGTACTTTTATATGCAGCAAGTTATATTTGATTTTATGAGGGTCATAAGTAGTTCGTTTCACATGCACTGTGTGTTTCAAACAGCAAAACACAGCATACGAGCTTAATGCTCTATCAGCACAGTGGAAGGAGCTGTGCGAGAAGAACATAGCAATTGAAGCTGCATGCGTAAAAGTTGAAAGCTACCTCGAAGAATTAAAAGCAGAAGCTACGGAAAGGTATATCCAGTTTACAATTTATAAGTTTTTTGTTTATTTGAAACATTAAACATCTATGCTCTTCTATGTAGAGGCTGGAATCTCGATGTTAATATGGAGAATGACCTTTCATTTCCTTGATAAGGTATGGTTCCTGTCAACTCTGATATGAATAGAGGAGACACATAAGATAGAAAGCCAGGGCATATTAGTCTTTTCCTTACAACAAAATAGGTTGCAATGCATGCTTCTTTTAATTGGATTCACTATGTCAATGGTGTTGCCGAAGGTTTTTTTAGTTTTGTTTTAACGTGTCACACCTATTGTGCGATATTGCACGTTGTTAGTATTTGACACGTCTGGTTTTAGCCAAGTGATATGAATGTATTGCTCCCAGTCAATTAGGAAGAATTAAATCGAACACAATAATGTTGCCGACTGACTCAAATTATGGAAGTCGTCTTTTAAGGCTTTATATCAACATTACGAAGCGGCATAAGTACACTTGCTCTTTGATTTTTCATTCCTCTTCTTTTTTAATCTATATTTTCGTCCAACTCTACAGAGCTGATACCCATTGCTGTTCTTTTCGTGTTCATTTGTTAAAATCGTCACTAATCCACTTTCCCATCTTGATCTTTCTCCATTTTCTTGTGCTGTCTTACACCTTTTTCTGTTGAAGGTTTTTTTTGTTAACCCTGGGTGTCTAGGCCAACTTGCTCGCATCTTGACCAATCCCATGGGGCCTTAAAGATAACAACCAAGAAAATCCCTAGGGGTGCGTTTGGGTACAGTGGACATGACAGAGATGAATAGAGATCATTGTCTCACGTTTGGCAAGACTTTATGTGGAACAGACAAGAACAAGCTGGAATAGGCCTGTTTTACCCCTGTCCCATGGAACAAGATGGATCAGACCTATATTTTACCACATAACCTCAACATAAAACCTAATTCTCTTCGAAAGCATCAAATAAGTCTCTCTTTACATTTTATTCATTCTTTAAATTTTATTTATCGTATTTTATGCTATTTTGAACTTTTCCTTTACCGTCCTCAAAATATTATTTTTTATACGGTTTCTATATGTTTTTTAATTTATATAATTTATTAAATATTAATAATAATAAAATATTATAGAAAATGTATAAAATAAAAATGGAAACTACATCAACTTTTTATTTGGTGCTATTTTCGTAGTATTGACGAAAACTTTTTAATGATATATATTTTATAGTAAAAATATTTAATTTATTATAATTTAATAAACTACATTAAATTAATCAAAATATATAAAAGATATAAACAATTCATTGGGGGTAAATTAGCCATTTATTTTGTCCTGTCTCACTAAACGTTGAACAATTGTTTTGCCTTGTTTGTTCTGTTTTATCCTGCCTGGATGCCAAATGCACCCTAGAGGCCTGATGGGACTCACACTAACGACCTATGGGGGAGGAGCCCCAAGCCTTTACCCTTTATTTGCCGGTTGAGCTAACCCTCAAGGTTCTGTTGAAGGTTTTTGCCGTTGGAAAATCGATGAGGAACTAGGGATACAAGAAATAATTGGTTTTCATCTTTAGGACCAAAGTACTTGGCTTTCTCTCTTGAAAAAAAGTCAGCTCGTGTCGAAACATCAAAAAAGGTTGCTACCCTTTGCAAAAAATGAGTGATTTTGGACAAAAATCACCAGGATTATCATGTTTTTCTTCTTGTTGCATTTACATTTCTAGAATTTGTCCGAAAATGCTCATTTGCACAATGTATATGATTTGGGTTTGTATTCAACAAAAAAACTAGAGTAGGATGGTTGGTCCTGCTATTTGTAATGTTACTATAGATGGTTGAACATGAATGTTTTTATTTTTGCAGAGTTATGGAGATCGGGGAGATGATAATGGAAAACGATCTGAATGAGGTGCGAAATACTCCCAAGGCTTTTTCACCGTTTGTTCAGAGTCGTCGGTTGTATGTGTAGTAACGGGTTTGTAGTCGATGGCTGCTAGAATTTGATTCTTTGTTATGGACAACGTAAAGAGGGAATTTCAGCCACTTTTCAATAGCATGAATGTTCTATCAAAGGTAAAGTATGATGTTATAGATGAATGCACCAAATTGACTCTGTTTGGTCGATACTTTTTTGGAAATTCTATGATTAACGAGTTAAATCGCTCAGCCGATTTTTATCATATTTTACATGCATAAAATTAAAAGGAATTTGCAACAAATGGAGAATCAATTTTGGCTTGATTCCAATTTTAGAAAACTATTTCAGGGGGCGTTTGGTTTACGGAATATTTTATGGAGTGGAATGGATCTGTCAAAAGAATTTGATTTTGAAGGAATTGGAATGGAATTTGACAACACGTTTGGTTGGAATGAATTGGAGTAGGATATGTTCAATGATTTGGAATTTGTCTGTTTGATTTGGTAGAATGTAGCTTTTCCGAATTCAAATGAATAAATGATAAATGACCAAAATATCCTTTTATAACGGTGGTGGTTGGGTGGTTCAGATCGATGGTGGTTTAGATTATTGGTGGTGGTCAACAATGGTTTAGAATGGCGGTGGTCGACGGGGGTTGAAAACGGTGGTTTAGATTGGTGGTGGTTCAGAGGGTGGTGGTGATTGTGGTTCGGATGGAGGTCATACAAACTCTACCCAAGTTTTATCTAGTATATTCATCAATTAAGATCAAGATATACTTTTTTCCAAACAAGCTCTGAGTGTTGGTTAGACCACATAGATCCACATGCAACATTTCCAGAGCTCTAGAGCAAGATGAGTCTGTCTAAGACCTTTTTTTTTTTTTTTTTGTAAGGGCGTCCGGGCCAAAGCTCGACTAATCCCCGTCAAATTTGGAGGCTAAACATGGCTCCACTTAAATGTCGCCAACACTCCCCTCCCAGGACTCGAACTCGGGTTCATGACTATGCCATGCTCAAGCCTTTACCACTAGGCTGGAAGGTCTTAGACTTATAAGCTGAATTTTTCAGTTTTCCCATCTCACTAGCAGAGCACAAATAATCTTTATCAAACTTTGAGAGCTGGTAATCCTTCCACCAATTGTTGCTTGACTAGTTTATTTAAAATTGGAGAAGTTCATATGTGAGAATCTTATGTGCCAAAGCCGACTTTCATAATCCTTCATAGATGATACAAGACACACAAGAAGGAGAGGTTGTGTTTGGTAGAGGAGAAAATTTCAGATGATATAGGTTCCTATGTCTTTTAGCTTTGAGTGCTTCTTCAACGGTCTCTGATTGTATTGTCCATTGCTCCTTGTGAAACTTTACTTCATATCTCTTATAACAAAAATTGATTTATACTTAACAGATTGTGCTTTAGACCATCAACATAAGCAGCTTTAGATATAGAGATATTTCCATCGGTTAGAACACCATGTCTGCTGATTATTCCTTTATTGTTGTTTCCAAAAGTTACCAAACCTCCAAGTTTGTCTTTGAATGAGGCTAGCACTTATATCACTTGTCATGTGCCTAGAACATCAAGAATCCAAATATCAAATTTGCACATGTTGGTCTTGTAAAGACAATTAAGATGATTTAGGTATCCATTTCATTATGGATCCTTTCTGGTTACCTTTAGATGGAGATTTAAGCTTTCTGTTTTGACAATGTTGGCTTTTCCCTTTTCATGTGGTCTCTGAGTTTTGAAATTTCCATGTTTATACATGAATCCAGAGATACCACACTTCTTACGACAAAAATCCTTTAAAAGTTGAGCTAAAAGCTTTGAATTTGCAATTAAAAGGACAAAGATGGTTGTCCAGAAATTCTTTTAGGTTTCATTGAAACAGAAGTAGAAGCCTTATTATTTTACTCTGAATTAGCATTAGAGGTTCTTACAAACTTCCTATCTAATTCAAGAATTGTATTCTTTGAGTCTTTGGCTTTCTTCTTCTAAAGAAGTCTTCACTCTCCATTTTTCTTCTCTTTTTATCGTGAAACAAGGAGAAGAATTAAAAGTTTCATCCAAAACAACTTTTACTTTATGACCAGGAGTGAATCTGATAGATTTAAATAATAAAAAAATGTTGGAAGTATCTCTGATTTATTTACTCTTCGTCTCTAGTTCAAGTTCTAGAGAAGATTTGTCTTCTAAGCACATTTCCATGAAATTAGAGCAAATGGGAAGTTTAGGAATTTGAATTTTTTTATTAAAACAGGTTGGTTTAGACTTTCATTTGACAATTCAGATTTATTATTCTTCTTAGGGACTATTTCTAGAAGTGCTTCAGATAATTCTTCATCAGAATCCGAGTCTAGAAAGCCCTTTTTAGCTTTTCAAAAGATAGTTTCAAGGTCTGGTTGCTCTGGTGTTACTTTGTAAACACTATATCCTTCACCATCTCTTTGTAAAGATACTTGAATATCTTTTATTTTTCACCAGACGAATATCAGGGAATGAAATAGAAGAAATCTTTTTATTAGAGTTAACGATTTCCTTTTTAGTACACTTCTGAGCGTACCTAATGTCGAATGTTGAAGATATGTTTGTTTTCTTGCTCCCAGTAACGGAATCAAGATCATTACCCAAGAAGTATAACAATAAAAGATCTAAAGTTTCAAAACCTAACTAGAACAACAAAGCACGAAAGTGGCGGACATGAAATTCAGGTGGAGAGCCGAGGGAGAGCTACAGTGTGGTGGTCCGGTGGAAAGGGACGGACAAGGGAGTGGGGAGAGGCCGAGTCCATGAGACTTTAAAGACGGGATTGTGAATTGTAACCGTTTATTGATGGTGGGGGTGAGTCAAACTGGCTAGCTTATCAGCTAATAACCAACACGACAACCACCAACTAGTTTATTAGCCAACAGCTATCTTTCTAGACTGTTTCTGGTCGTTTGTCAAACATAGTCTTAGAAAACTATGCAAGTATGTGATAAGTAAACGACAACAAAATACTTGTAACAGGAGCAACCATTTCATCCATTTGCTGTATATAATTCCAATTATTGTGTCACAAAACCATGAAAAATAAAAAGAAAAAACAAGCCCATATCATAAACAAACCCCCCCCCCCCCCTTCTTTCTTGAAAACTAATTATATGACACTCCATCTCTACCCCCCAACGATCTGTTGAAGTTGTATATACAAAAGTTGAAAAAAAGAAATGCTGACCCATCTTCCTTCCATTGGCAGAAACTATAAGTTTTACCTTCTGGCATTGCTTCCAGTTTGTGATGGCTCTGAGTTTGCACCAAGTGCAGCTGCAGCAGATTCTACGTGTGTAAGGAGATGATCGTAAATCTTCTTCCTTATACGATTCATCGTCTCTGGGGAGATATGACAAGTTTCTCCTTCATCTTTACTACTTTCAATCTTATCTAACCAGTCATTGACACTTTTGAGTTGAGATAACATGCCTGCAATCCGACCATTATCGGATATTGTAACATCAGCATCCAAGAATCTTTCTACAAATCCCAAGAACCAATCTTGCGACTCCAGTTTTAACATTTGCCCCAGTTCTACCGTTTCATTAAGACCAGCTCCTTTCTCCCATTTTAGTGGAGGTGGGGCTCTTGCCTTTTGGTCAATTGTTGGCCTTGGAGTTGTTGAGTTGAGAATCTTGGATTGACGGGGCTTGACTTGGGTTTTTGGTGATGCAGTCTTGGTTGTGCTCTCAAGAACCAGGGTGGGCTGGTTCCCAAGGAGAATAACGGGGCTAGAAGGTGGTGCTTGCTTGCTGTACACCGAGAAGGATGATAAGTTTGTGGTTATGGCAGCATGGACCCAGTGACTTGCTTGTTTACGCTTATCTGATGTAGCTTTTAAATGTGTTTCTGACGGGTTATCTTCGCAATCTGATGATGAACCGAGAGCAACGATTTTGGATAAAGATTCAGCAATCTGATGAGCATTATTCAAGCCAGCATGCATTGCCAAGAACTGCTCCACAGCAGGCTGTGGGTTGTCTTCGTTTGCAAAAGAACAGAGCTCGGCATATGTGCTGTCATACAAAAACATGAAGTTTTTTAAATAAAACTGAACTTCAAATGTTGGGACAATCATATCAAGGAAGTCATAAGAATTATATATAGTAAAGCACAAGGGTGGTGTCTGATTGGTTTGAGCTTGGCTCCAAAGGTCAAAAGTACCTGGAGATCCCAGGTTCAAATCCAAGGAGGAATAAAAATCCCCTTGTAGCCATGGAGGTTCAAATGCCGTGACTCCGGGCTATTTGCAAAGCAGATGGTCGTCTTGGGATTAGTCGGCTTGCATAACGGGTTGGATATCCAGGTTTATAAAAAAAAAAGAATTATATAGTATATAGAGAGAGCGGACACAATCATTTGTTAACCAAGTAAATAGTATTAACTTTACAAACCCATCTGAGCTGTTATTTTTTTGATCAACAGTTATGGTTAAATGGGTGGTTATAGAATGACGAAAAAAAAATTAAATTGAATTAAAAGAAGGGCAATTTTGGAACAAATTTTTATTTTTGAAAGATATGATCATCGCTCAGTCTCTCCTCTCTCCCTCTTGAACTGATGGTGATGGTGTTTGTTTTTATTTTTGGAAGATAATCATGTTTTATATGGTATTTGTTTAAAGTTCATAGTGTCGTTTAAAATATGAACTTTTGATTGTTCCCATTTTTTTATCGATGTTCACAAACAATGATTTTTGTTTAAAGTTCATAGGTGAAACAATGATTTTTGTTTAAAGTTCATAATGTTGTTTCGTATATGAGCATTAGTTGTTCCAATTTTTTTTTCTTCTGAAGTTCATAGGTGAAACCAAAAAAATGAGATAATTAAGGAGGTTTAAACAAAGTAATGAAATAGAATGTGATAATTAAGTAATGAGATAATTAAGGAATGTGGTATTAATATATGAAAAAGATTAAAATACCCCTGTTAGCAAAGTTTGTACTAATTAAGCGGTTAACAAAAAATGGTGCATATATATATCTATATAGATACAGATAGAACGATAGAAAGAGAGAGAATGAGGTTCAAAGGAAAACCTCACAAAAATGAGAAGCTGAAGAACACCTGAATAATCATTCATCTGTATGGTATGTATCAGTGCATACAAGTAATTAAAGATGTTACCTGCATGTTATGCATGTGTGCATACCGTACAAATTACTTATATGCATATATGCATATCCTACAGATGAATAGTTACTAGGGTGTTCCTCAGTTTTTCATTTTTTTCGGCTTTCTCCTTAAGCTAACCTTATATATATATATATATATATATATATATAGACTTGGGATAATGTGAGACCAAAGGTTTTTCGTGAGACCCGTAAGACCAATTCTCAACCCTTGGATTAGATCTACAATCTGAACATTTATAATCACAAAATTGCCATGAGACTTCTCAATAATCACAAAATTTCCACCGTGCAACTTTAGACCATCAGATCATTAGCTTATAAAGTTGATAAATGAACATAAATTGGTCTTATGGGTCTCACGAAAAACCCTTGGTCTCACGTTAACCCAACCCTATATATATATAAATAAAACTGAGAATCAAGAGATAAAGATTCTCTTCGGTGAAACCCCCCCTCTCAGTGACCCCCCTTCCATCGACCGCCTACGTCACTATCACCACCACTACCCATGGCCACCAAACCAAGAGCCACATCCATGTGCGACACACCAAACCAGGGAAACTTCAGCTCGATATCTGTTTGTATGTGTGTGCATTTTCTGGATCGAAAACCAGGGATCTGAATTCTTCATGATTTTAGACAGTCCTTGCTCTCTCTTCAGTCCTCAGCCATGGGGGATATAGTTTTTGTTGATTTAAGTAATTTTTTTTCCATTGAATCAAGTAAATTCATGATTTTGAACAACTCTATTTTTTCTGGGCCACAGATGGGATAGGGGACGGTCGGATGGGGTTCACTGTTGCAGGGAAGGGGTGAAGAGGCAGTGGGGATGGCGGTAGGAGGGAGGTGGAGAGGGAGAGGAAATTTGGGAGGAGCTAGAAGTAGAGGGCTGCCATGGACACGGATCGGTGTAGGGGGGCCGTGCAATCTGTTTCTATACGCGCACACATATATACATAGATATAGATCGCCCATGATCCTGCTGCCCCAGAAACACTAATCTTTTGACCATTAAATAAAAGTGATTTCTAAGCCACAAAGTACCTTATACATTGAAGTATGGTTTCGCAGGCTGAAGCCTCTTGAATAGCCTCCACCGCAGCAATTTGTGCAGCATCTCTATGCTTCAGGACTTCCTGCATAAGTATAACATGAGTTGTTCGTAACGATGATTCAAGAAAGATATTGATGAATAAGTTCATCTGTGTAGCAAACACAATGTAAAGACAACATGCCCCATTACGTAGTGGCAAAACCAACAATGTAAAAATCCCAGTAAAATGTAACTTGTATATTTGTTTGTAGGGTTGCAAGTCATGTGCTGTGGAACATTTATTGTAAATGATCTTGTTTAACCAAGAAAGGGCAAAATGAATCAAAATGCAACAAATTTTGGTTAAATTCCTAATTAATGTAACGGGAAAAAAATCTCATATTTTGTACCTATTTTGATCTGTGACCTTTTTGATCTTGTAACATTTGATGACGTGGATACCCCTTATGAAATGTTTACAATGAAATAGAGGATAAACTTACCAAAGGGCCTTTGGCCTAGCGGTATGTGAGTCCTTGGCCTTCTAGGAGGTCAAGGGTTCAAACCTCACCAAAGGTGAGGAGGGTGTGTGAGTTTATTTGTTCTATTTGCCGTATATAAATATTATATACTTAAAAAAAAATAGAGGATAAACTTAACATCCACGTCAAAATGGGTAAAAGTAAATACATTAGATAAGAAATTTATAAATTTCCTTATACAGATCGACAAAAGAATTATTTGTTACACTCAATATGAACTAAGGTAAACTTCGTTTCATTTTGATGCATTTTTGCCAAAAAAACAAATACTTGCATCAAAACCATATAGGGCCCGTTTGGTTTTGACGGAACATTTTTGAGGGATTATGATTTCATGGAAGGATTTGGATCTTTGGTGTTTTTGGTTTGTAGGATTTAGAATGGAATTGAATTTCATTCTTTTATAAATCTTGTTTGGTTTGTAGGGTATGGAATGGATTTTTTTATAAATAATTTGTTTGTTTCATTAAGATGTGGACGCAATGGAGAGAATAGGACAGATTTGAAGAAAGAGGAGGGGTAAAGATGCGATAGAAACAATTGAAATACATGGGATTTGGATTTGAAATGATAACTGACTCGAAGGGATTTCTAAATCTGTTGGTTGTGGGATTCCAATTCCAAACTTTCCTTCAAACCAAACAAAGGAATGTAATGGATTTCAATTCCTAATTCCTCCAAATCCTACACAGGATTGGAATGGATCTACAATTCCTAATCCCTCCAAATTCTACCAAATCCAAACCAAAACTAGAAGTGACTCACACCCTCCAATGACGCTATCTATAGTGGTTCAATTTTGGGAACATACCTTTCCAAGCTTTCCAATAGACAAAGGGAGTGAAGACCAAGAACCACTTGTATCGGTCAATCTCCTATTACTCAAAGAAACCTTGATCATGTTTCCTGGATGCAAAGCCCCTGCTGATGATTTTTGCTTACTTGAATGAACAACCAAATCTGGAATCGTAGTAGTCACTCTCGTTTGAGGTGTGTGAACCTTACTTTCCTCTTTAGATGATGACTTATTCACAAATGAAGTTGCTTTATTACTCTCCTCTTTAGATGGCATCCTTTCACTTGTCGATTTTCTTGAAGTCTGCATCATAAGGTTATTTGGCATCATGTTAATTAGAAATGATAACCGATAAGAAATAAATCAAACCAAACTAACTGTAAATCCTTTTCTACCCTTGAAAGCCCCGGTTTGCAAATTAATAATTAAAATAAACAAGCAAGCGGGCTATAAGTGACGGAAATAGGTTAAAACAAACAAGGAAACACAAAACACAGTAATGACAACTGCTAGAACTGTTGAGAGAAAATAAGAACCTGTTCGATGTTTCAAATTCCTTGTTCAAGTGTATAGAAGATACAACTTGTCCCCAGCTTTCCTAGAGATATGCCCCAAAGTCCTCTAATCATGACAATGACGGTTATGTACGGAGGCTCTATGCATTCTTTTATAACTGTCTTATAACAGCCTTTTTGACTAATATGTCACCTATATTTGTGCTTTACAGATATGTTTCTTAGGGGCTGTTTGGCTGGTTTTCCATTAAGTCCTGTATAGATAAAGTTGTATGTGTAGATTTAGCTGTTTGTATAGATTGGGAAGGTTTTTGTTTGGGTGGGTTTTTCATAGATGGAAGGAGCATGATTTTTAATTGGGAGGGGCAGGTTTGGAAAAAACTTGGCTTTCTGCATACAACTTTCCCATAGAAGCTTACAGAATAAGCCACTTTCTATATCATTAAGTCACTATCAAACAGTCATATATAGCTGACTGAATAAGCTGTGAGTCCCATTAAGCTCATTAAGTTGCTAACAAACATGCCCACTAAGCTCATTATTCTTTTTTGGCAAGCCGGGGTAACCTCTCTATCTCTTGGAACAGAGGTAAGGTGTGCATACATCTTATCCCTCAGACCCACATTCGGGTGGGATATACTACGTTTGTTTGGTTTCGTTTATGTATGGAACAACTAAGATGCTCACTTGAAAGTTGATTACATTACAATGGAAATTAATGCCAACTTGAAGATGCATATAGTCTGGTATACACAAGGGAAAGACAAGACATTTTGAACAAATCAACAGAACCGAGCATTGTCTGTTTTCAGATAGTCAGATATAAAGCAAGCTCAAACTAAGAAAGAACTCACAGAAGTACTCCAAGCTTCAGGCTTTGAATTCTTCTTGGTGATATCGATTCTTGGAGTCCTCACATCCGTACCACCTTCCCAGCTCTTCCTAAGAGCCTTGTGTCCAAAGTCAATACTCTGAACAAAACTTTTTATCGAGTTTCCCATTCCAGACTTGTTCACACTTGGACTTGCTCCACGAGCTGGACTCGTTTTCTCCCCAAAGCTCAATTTATTAATCGTCTTCTCCATTCTGTTGATGCTCGACTGCTTCTTAATCCCATTGGAGAACTTCTCAAACGAATTAGGCAATGAATAATAACTTGTAGGAGACAAAAGTATAGGTTGAGAATTGAACGATTTGGTTTTTAATGACCGATTTGTCACAATTGCATCCAGTGCCAACTTTGGTAATTGAGATTTAGATCTTCCCAAAACTGGTCTAGTCTTCTTACTATCCAATTCTTTATCCTTTTGTCTCCCATTTAATCTCTTCATGACTCTTTTGGAAGGAGATTTGGTCTTATTGAATAACATAGAACCAGAAGCAGAACTACAATTATTGTTGAGGAAACCTAAAGAGTGGGTGGCAACTATATCTTCCGGGGTTCCAACACAAGGGTGCCGGCCAGGAACTGGCCGGACCCCTTGTAAAATGGGCACCGGAGAGGCTGGCTCGAGCCTATCGACATGTATAAATTGACCCAATTGGATCTTATCACTGAGAATGAGATCAATATGTTGATCAGGTAAAGATACATATGTGGCATGAGATGAATCAGATACCTTGAGGTAAAACCCTTGGTTTTCAAAAAGCTCACCACCAGCTAAAGAAGGGACAATGCTCACCACTTGCAATAGAGATGATCTGTGCTCTCCTCCAACCTTCACATCTGTGTTCATGTGTTGAAGCAATTTTAACAGTACACCAGGGACCGGAGCAGCCATTGTTGTTAACAACTTCAATATGCATCACACCACTCTAAACCCAAAAACCTAGATCCAGATTTTTTACGAAATCATTCAAATGGGTCCACAAATATGAGGATTGCAAGAAACTCAAAGTCGAACTGGGTTAAGAAATCAAACCATATTTGGTGGCAAATATGCATTGTTACTAGTACATCAACTGAAACCCACAATAAAGATCCATCGATTTTTCATCAACACCGACAAAAAAAGGTGGAAGCAGAAGAAAAATATCAATAAATAACCAAATTAGGTAATACCCAACAAGTTTCTTCAGCTTAATCAAGATGGTAATATGTATAATTTGATGGGATGAGGAAATTGGTGGAGGTTAGTATGATTAGCAATAATACAATGAAACAGCACACGAGGAGAAGACAAATGTCATTGATTGCAGATGGGTAAAAAGTGGCAACTCAGTTATGAGGAACAGGACAAGGATCGAATCTAAGCTCTTTGAATTCCTAAAATTCGAGTTGTTATAGGAATTCCCATTGATTTTTCTGCTCTTTCGTTCAATCATACGGATAAATAGCTTTTTACAATGAGAAAGGGGAAGAGTTAAGAGGCAAATTTGTGAGAAATTCGTATCAAATACACAATCGAGCAAACTGACCATGAAGAAAAACAAATAATCAGCAGAAGAGGCTGAAGACACACGTCTCCTTTTCCTTCACCACAAGCTGTGATCTGAACATGGAGAGAGATAGAGAGGGACCCAGCCCCCAGGTAGAGTTTGCTTTTCTTGTTCTATTCGGTGGACGCCCACTTTAGGTGTGTTTTGGGATTACTTATTTAAAACCACTTTTTCCAAATTCATGATACACACTTATACGGTGTTAAATTAGGGAAATTTATAAAAATAACCGTTTTACACACCTTTTTGTTACAAAATAATCATATTTTAGAGGTTTTGCCAAAATAACCACTTGGATCGCCCCCGGGGGCGATCCGTAGATAATGGGGGCGATCCCCTTAAAAAAGAAAAAAAAAAAAAATTCCTCAAAAGTCGAGATTACTGTTCACCTCGTTGACCGTGTTTGACCTCTCCCGGAGGCGATCCGTACTGTTCACCCATGAACTTTTTTTTTAAAATTGAAGTTGTATTTTTTTTAACTTTTTTAAAACCAAATTTCATGAGGAAAAGATTTAAAAATAAATCTTTATAATTATGGAGACGCAAAAATTAATTTTCTCTGTTTTGTGTTTCGGAAATCAGATATAATATCTGATTGACGAAATTTGACCTCTATTTTTTTGTTTTTAATTTTAAATTTC